GCTGCTCATTTATTGCTGTCCAATACAAGTACAATGAAAAAATAATGAACTAGGAAATATAATCAAGAAACAAAAAAGATTGATTAAAAAACAGTATGAGATACTGACAGGCTCTGTAATAACACGATGTGCAAGTGAGCCAAAAGTATTTTTTTTCAAAATTGAATTATCCAGTACAAAGAAAAAAAAAAACAACAACAAAACACAGGAGGAAAATATATGTTAGCTTTTGCCCATTTTTAAAGCTATATTTTTGAGTGAACAGCAATTTCAGGTACGTGGTGCAGCCCTGACATGAGGAAGGAGTGTTTGCTGCTGTTTAAGGGATGTAATTGCAGGTATTGACTTCAATCTTCAGACTTTTAAAGATAGTAGCTACAAAAATCAGTTTGGAAATGAAGTGCAGAGAAAAAGGGAAAATACTGATCAGAATGAGTTGATTATACAGTTCAGCATTTCATGACTGAATAAAAGAAGTGTAATGAGTGATTGACAGGGTTCTGATGCCAACACAGAACCTCCAGTCACACAGACAAGATGCAAATAGAGTTGCTTGGAAATTTTCCACGTGAATGGTTATTTTTAATGTAAAATTCAGTATTCTGCAGAAAATAAGAGACTCAGTCACACGGGAACGATCAAAATGTAACAAGCCATTTCAATTCCATTGTCCTAAATGGAACTGACTTACAAGGTTTCATTTTAGATCAGTTCTCCAGAAGACATCAGCAGTGAGCTCACTGTTAATGGTAGGGGTAGCTTCCATTTGAGAAAAATTGTTTTGGAACAAACTCCAAAGTTGAAACATCGTTATCATCTCCTGAAAGGTGAAAACCCTGAAGTGTATCCCACCCATGGCAAAAGAGCCATCATCATGCTGACTTTTGTCTCCCTGTTTGGGCTGATGTGATTCAGAATGTGCTAGCAAATGGTTCTGCAGCCACTGCACAGTTCTCCAGAGATTTTAGCATCCGCAACTTTTAATAACATTAAAAAGCACTTTTAGAAACACAGGCAAGTGTGCTGTAGTCATTAAGGTGGCCAGCCATCCATGAAGTATTTTATTCATTGTATCTTGCCTAATGAGAAGGGCAAGGGTGTTTTTTTGGGGAAGTTGCTGGCAGGAAAAATCCTTTACTCTCCCCTCTGTCCCTGCCACATGCAGAGCAATAAGTGACAACACTGAAGTTATAGCTTGGTCTGAAGTTAACCATAAGCAAGCTGTGCAGTTATTTAGTGCAGCAAAATCTGGGACGGTAACACAGCCCACAGCCCCACTGCCCATCTCAGAGCTGCAAAACCGATCTGTATTTGAGAAACCAGGTGATGTGTGGTCCAGTTAGCCCTGGGGCTGAAGCAGTAATGTGTTCAGGGAAGCAAGAAGTTTGGCTTTCCAGGGATTGGTCCCTGAGCCCTGTTTCATTTTGCCCCCTCTTTCTTCCCTTCCTTGTGTAATGCATTGGGACAGGCTGCCAGGGAAGTGGTGGAATCACCATCCCTGGAGGTGTTCAAGAAAAGGGTAGATGTGGCATTGGGGGCACAGTGGGGAAGGGTCAGCGATTGGACTAAGTGATCTTAGTAGTCTTCTCCAAACTTATTGATTCTATGATTCTATGATCTCATTTATAGCAGAAAGCAGCTTTGCCTCCAATTATAAGAAACATTGAACAAACCTGAGCAAAAAAACTCATTGCTGTTCCAAAGGAGATATTAGGCAGAATGTCCTTAAAATGCAAGTGCACATATTCTAAGTCTCCTTGACACAACACTCTCTGTAGTGTTGGAGCAAGTATCTCATTTGGCTGACTTGAAGTGGGATGTTATGCAAGCTTGCTGCAAAGAGCTCACAGCTTTTTGGCTGAGAACATCCACAGATGACTATTCAGCTGCCCTTGCACAGTTATCATGACATTCCTTTCATTCACAAATTATACGCTTCTGCTTAACAACAGGAGATGCCAGCCTTGAGCTTTCCTCTCTGAAACCAAATTTATCAGAGATGTGCAAATGGGCACAATAAAAGAGTTGTTTCAAGCCTTTGAAATCAATCCTTCTCAGTCCTGAGAATGGAGACCTGACACACTATCCTTCTTCAGTTACAATTGTAGAGGCAGTGGATATCCTAAAAGAATTTAGTTCATTAAATCTTAAATATAGTATTGTGTTCTTCAATAAAATAACTGCTGTAGATGAAGAGAGTCCACACTGCATGTTATTCCTTTGCTGAAGAGATGTCACTGCCCATCAGTGGATAGGTGGAATGGCTTCTACCTTCCTGCTTTCGCCAGCCCCAACCCATGGCTGACAGTGGTGTGGAGAACCAGGGAGCAGTCACAGCTGCTTCACATGTCTCCATTCTATACCACAAACAGTCATTTTGGCCAAACGAATTTGCCTATATGTCTGTCACTGAGCAGCAGATAATACCAATTTTTTTTTTTATCAAACAGTAGCATATTTGCAGTAGATCTTTAAAAATTGCTCATGTTATTAGGTAGAGAGCACTGTACACGCAGTCAGGCATGGAAAAGGATGGCATTTAGTAGTCAGAAAGCAAACAGTGCGCAGAGGTTTAAAAAATGATTGTGCTGATGTGATGTGAATGCATTTGGCTTTACCCCATCCTTTGGGCACTTAGCAGGAGCAGAGCGCCTGAGCCTGGATGTGCGTCATCCAGCAAATATTGCAAATCACACGTTCAGAGCAGTTAGATTATAGGTCTCAGCAGAAGCACCCTTGGCGTGTATACGCACTGAAATGATGAGCAGGTGCCCACCGTAAACCCAAGCACCAAGTTGCACAAATCTGTGCCTCGCTCCTCTACTCTTAAATATATTTCAAACTTCTTTAGTTGCTTCTGTAGCATCCTGAAGGTTGCTCAAAATTGTTTGTGTGCAGGAAAAGAACACCAGGTTTGCTGACAGCCATGTTGTATGATGAAACGTTATATTTCTGAGAGCATGAAATAATCAGTGACATGAAAAATTACAGTGTTCTGCCTAAAATGGCATCCCCTCCCAGCAGTGCACCAAGAACAATAGAGCCTCAAAAGATGTTTACAACAGAAAAGGAAACACCATGAGGATACTGGAGTGAAATCCATATTCTTTTTGTCATATTCTGTCACAGGCTTCTTGAGTGCTGTTGCACAAATCACTTCAGACAGTAATTTTCTAATTATTCAAGTGCCCAATTCTAATTGAAAATAAATTCAGCATCTAAATACTTCTCCATTTTCAATTGTAGTCCATTTTCAAATGCATCACTTTTATTAGTGAGAATAACGCAGATGTTCTGATGCTGGAATCCTCTGAGCCACATCGTAGCGCTCTATTAGTATCACACTGCTGAGGATAGTGATGAAGAACAAGGACCAGAATGAATTTTAATGTGAGATTTGAAAACATCAAGCAAATTTGACTGGCTTGCAATATTAAGGGATTTTTTTTTTAACCACCGTTATCAAGATGTAAATTGAAAAGTACAAAAACGTTGTTTTCAAAGGGAAGGCATTAGCACAGAAGATGTGAAAGGGCAGAAAATATGGGGAAAATGAGCAAGAAGCAGGCATCAGAGCAGCAAACTCCTGCCATGTAATATCCTGGTATTCTGTTGCTGCTTTTTGGCTGAGGTCATTTATCAGATCTCAGTCTGCATTTGGGGAGCAAACATCTGCAGTGTTTCAAAAATGACAGCTGACTGTAGACGTGGTTGCAAGGGGATCAGCCATGGTTAAGCAGTGATGTCAGAGTGATCCATGGTGAACAGCCTTAAGTATTCATCGACACTACTCCCATCAAACCGTTTACTGATCCAGGTTAAGTTTCTCAGCACTAATTCTTACAGGCTTTGAATTTCCCCATTGCAGCCATCCTGCTTGGTCCATTCAAATGCAGTTCAGGTCACCTTTAGTTAATGAAAGTTTTGGTGAAGCTTCATTTACATCATCAGTTAAAAATGCTCAGACCAGAGCCCTGATTATGCAAGTTTGTTAGAACTCAGCATCCTGAAATTTCTGTCTGTTTCTGTCTCTCTCATAAATAAGTCAGAAAGTTAGCATTTGTGAAAATTACTTTAAGGCAATATCGTTTCATAATTTTATTAAGAAGTCAATTAAAAAAATCCCATTAAAAAGATAAGTGAAAAAATCCTAACTGCAGTTAGCCATTCCATATTCACCCATCAGCAAGATTCAAGAAGGACATTCATGTTTTTAAGTTCAATAATCAGCTTCTGTTCCCTGAGAAAAGTCAATGTGCCAACCTTCAGCACTAAGCTGCAGCTCAAATGGTTTCTCTTTTGATTCTTAAAACCTCAGAGAGAAAAGAATGCTTTAAAGTCTGGATGAAATCTGTTTGAAATAAACAGATTTCAGTTTTAAAGAATATTTGCTTACCTTCGTGTGCTTATACTATGTATTTCATGACAATATGGCAGTGCAACCATTATTTTCATTTTGTTGGTGAAACTGTTTTGTATGGCCAGAAAGACTTACAGCTTCTCAGCACACACAATCTATCTCTGGTTTTGTCCTTCTGTTGTACTTCATTTTGTGGGAGAAACACCAATGGAAGACAAACATTGGGTTTTTGCTGTTTAGCATGGAAGGCTAAGCAGAGCCATGCTGTCCAGCACGACAGCCACAGAAAAGGAATGCAGGTAGGGGGGAAAAAAAAAAACAACACAAATTCTGGTGTTAAAATGGATTTCTGACAGCTCTGAGACTCCACAGCGTAATGCTCAGGGACTGGGCAGGTGTTGGTGAGTAGGAAGGTGCCATGTCTTGAAGCGGAGGGAACGCAATGGGGAAGGAAGGCTGTGGGGCAAAAAGGCTGCAGCACGGCTCAGGAGGTGCCTACACAAGGCAGCAAGGGCCAAGCTAAAGCCCAGGCAGGGGAGCTTCACATCCCTGTCAAAACTGATCTTTGAGTCCTGCTGTCTATCAGTGCAACAGCCACCGTGACTGAGCTCACTAACCCACTATCCTCTTATCTTTCCAGCAATCTTGACACTGAAGAGCTTTCTGGTAAGTTCCTCATTAAACAAGAAGATCATCTCTGCCTGCAGCAGCCCTGTGCAAGTGAACATATTCTGTATTATAAAATGATATTTCTTTCAGTTTATCCTTTGTGGCTCAAACAGAAAATATGTAAATTACATTGAAAATCTACACTTGAAGAATGCAGACAGCTTATAATCTTTCAGAGAGCCATCCATTCGATACAGATATTGCTTTGAAAATATTTTTCTTAATCCATGCCTCAGACTGTCTGAGCTTTAAGAACTTGGTTCTAGTGAAGAGATCTTGATTTCCTTTCCTATGGGATACTTTTCTAGTTGATTGTTTTCAAAGGTAGGAGTGTTTGGGACATTTTGAAAAACATTTTCACATTCCTCTGGAGGAAAGTATATTATCTGCCTCCAACTCAGTTCTGTATGAGCAGCAGTTGGACACACTGTCATTCTTCATCACCAAAACTTCCTGCAAAGCCCCACTGTGGCCCACTGACCTGCCTGTGTTCCTGATCCCGGCTGTGAGTCATGAAGATTTTTTCCACGACTTAGAGGTGCTGCTTGCAGTAGAAAGTATTTACAGAAAATTTCTGTAAGTCCTCCCACAGGATGTGTCAAACAGATAGTTATGCTTGTCAAAAGCAGGCTATTTCTGGGAAAAGATATCAGCAAACAGTGGCCTATTGAATTTTCCCAAAGTCGGTGATGCTGAAGTCTTTTAAAAGTTGAAAACACTGTAGATTTGAGTGCCAGCTGATGTACCTGCCTACAAGGTGACTCTGCTTGTCACCTTGTAGGCAGAAGGAACCCATTGAGGGGCATCTCAGCATGCGGTACATAAATATTTAGTGACTTAGCCAAAGTCAGTTGTGCTGTGATGACTTCTGCTAGCTCAGAATCTGGCCAAAACTGTACCAACCTGGCCAAGGAAGAATGGGGCTTTGTTCTAGGAGCTATACACAGCTTATGGGGTGGTTTGTGCACTGTAGGCCTGCTCAGTGCTCACCCCACAAACCGAGCCCACCAGTCAGCCAGAGAGCTGGCTGAGGTCTCAGCTCAGTGCTGATTTTTTTTCTGTCCATTTTGATAAACTATGGGCAGCTTCAGCAATCCTCATGATACCTGAATTCTGCAACTCCTTTGTAAGTCTTTCACAGATTGCCTCTGGGGTGTTTCTCATTTGTGAATCTGATGCTGAGTTTACTCAATGTGCGTTTAGTCTACAGCTTCCTCTGACTTATTTCCATAACTCCTAGGAAGTGAAGTTTCATTTCCAGGGCATGAATGCACAGCATTTCTTTCTAAATCATTTCATTCAGTCTCTCAGCAATACCAGGCTTTGTCACCAGGCTACTGAAATATTTCATGATTCCCCTGCAAAACTCATGAACATTGGTCAGATTTCCTTTGTGTTTTTGTGCCTTTGTGAGAGCCCTTAGTTTATGCAGCAGAATCTCTAAAGCCTGTTGATACAGTGATATTTACTTAATGGAATTTTATCCAGATGCAAGTATATGTAGAAAATTAGTAAATACAATTTTTACAGATTTATTTCTGTTTTATACTTGACATACTTTGAAGAATGCCCTCTGGTTTGGTTCAAATTAAGATATTTTAGCAGAAAGAACAGGCATACACAATTAATGTTCTTTTCACTATTTTTGTTAAAAATACCTTGGATGTATTATATTTATTGAAAATATATTTGCAGTTCCTGGTTCCAGAAGCACAACCGAGCAACTCATGGTTGCATCAGAAAAACACTGGGCCTCAGCTGAACCCAACTTAAAACAGCCTTTACTTGATTTCATCTCCCCTAAGGGTTTTACAACAGTATTCGTTTGTGTATCATTATAATCAGATTTACAAGAAATACAAGAAAACTTCATTTCCTGATAATAACTATGAAGTAAATACTGAAAATTCATTTTAGACATAAGATGTACATATTTTGAAAATACGTCTGCTTCTTGTTGACTTGGCATTACTTACTGAAAGGAAATGTTCTGAAACACCAATTTTGGCATTTTAAATATTCATTAATGGTTTTGAGGAAAATATTATCAAAATTTCAAAGTAAAATCGTCCCCTTCATGAGCCTTGATCATTTTATATATTTAGATAGCTAATAATAATATCATAACTAATTTCAGACTTGAATATATTGATATTTGATGAAATATTGAATTTTCCAGTAGTGAATAGGTGACTTGGATTTTCTTCTTCCTTCAGAATATTTTTCGCAGCACTTAGGAGAATATGAAAATGTTCTCTCTGTTTTGGAGGAATTGAACATTACTATACTGAAGGCAATGGACAAAACAAAGAAAGTAAGTAAAAACTGTAAATATTTTTTATATTTGGATGTGTGTCCAGTATATTTATATTGAGACAAAGTTGCTAACTCGTATTTAATTTCTTCCAAATATACTTGTTTTTGTAGAAAAAGTCCAGGAGGAAAAGGCTTGCCAAAATGGCTCAGTGTCCCAGCTGTAAAGTTTGAATCAATCAAAATTGTCTTTGTGATTGATGGGAACGATGTTCTTCATATTGTAGTACTCAGAGAAGATTCCATATTTAATGCTAAATGTGTGAAGGTATTACCAAGTTTTGAAAATAGTCTGAATTTAAAGAAATAATTCAAGTTCTCGGCATAGAAAATGTGAGTAAAAAATTCAATTATCAAACTATACTCCTGCCTGCCATTAAGGCAGTAGATGTGCACAGTCGTCAGATTTGTGTTATTGTTAAAGGTAGATTCCAGGACAGTTTAAAAAGATTTTAAAGGCCTGTAGCAGCTCAGTTCACTGCAGTCACACCTGCTCATGCTCACCTTCCAGCCAGGTGTTTGATCATTTATAAAGAGTTTAGAATCACAGAATCAATAAGGTTGGAAAAGACCTCCAAGATCATCTAGTCCAATTGTCCACCTACCACCAATATTTACACACTAAGCTTTGCCCCTCAGTACAACATTTAAATGTTTCTTGAATGCCTCCAGGGATGGTGACTGAACCCTCTCCCTGGGCAGCCCATTCCAGCACCTGAACACTCTTTCGAAGAGGAAACTTTTCATAATATCCAATCTGAGCCTCCCACAGCACAGCTTGAGGTCATCCCCTCTGCTCCTATTGCTCGTTACGTGGAAGAGGGCAACCCCTGCCTCACCACAACCTCAGGCAGCTGTAGAGAGAGGTAAGGTTTCCCCTGAGCCTCCTCTTCTCCAGACTGAACAATCACAGATCTCTTAGCCACTCTCCATAAGAGTTGTGCTCCAGACTCCTCACCAGTTTCACTGCCCTTCTCTGGGCACACTCCAGATGGCATCGATGTAGCGAGGGGCCCAAAACTGAACACGGTACTTGAGGTGTAGCATCACCAGTGCTGAGTACAGAAGGATGGTCACCTCCCTGCCCCTGCTTGTAACCCTATTTCTGGTACAAGCCAGGGTTCCATTGGCTTTCTTGGCCACTTGGGAACACTGCTGGCTCATATTTAGCCAAATGCCAATGAACACCCTCAGATCTGTTTCTTCCACACAACTTTCCAGCCACTCTGCCCCAAGCCTGTAGCATTACCTGGGGTTGTTGAGGCAGGATCTGGTACTTGGTCAGGTTGAACTTGATCCCAGTGGTCTCATCCCAGTGATCCAGCCTGTCCAGATCCTAATATGGGGCCTTCTTACCTCCAGGCAGATCGACACTTCTTCCCAACTTGGTGTTACCTGCAAACTTTCTGAGAGTACACTCAGTCCTTTCATCCATGCCACAAATAAAGCTATTAAACAGGACAGCCCCCAATACCTACCCCTGGAGAACACCATTCATGACCATATGCAAGCTGGAAGTTAATATGCATTTACATAACATGCTTTTTCCTTGGCTGTCTTGTAGTTAAATGTTCTTTGCAAGATGGAAAAATTTCAAAAGGTGAGGCAAAACCCAAATGCAGGAAGGAGGTGAACCAAGATCCTCCAAATCCAGCCCTAGCTCCTCACACAGGGCTAGTCACTGCAAGGCAAGCCATCAATGACTTAAAAATTTTAGCAGAAAGTATTCAATGAGATCCCAGGGGGGAAAATACATATGTCCTTCAGTCAATCAGCAATCAATGAGGAGCTTTCTCAGAGCTCTATCAGAGAATGCTCTTTGGCATTCAGGCTTTTGCAAGAGTACAGCACTCATACATTTTACATGAACTGACAAAATAGAAACCTGAAAATGTGGCTTATTTTTCTAGACATTGAGCCAGTGAGCTGAGTGCCTCTCAGTTTGTGCTGTTCATCTAATGAAGTGAGTGCACATTGAATCACTGCCTCACTGGGGCGGGCACTAAAGAACAGATGAGTTCATGCGAGTTGTCCAAAAATCAAAAATACAAATACAAAACAAAGCACCATAAACCAAATGCTTGATTAACCACTTGCATAAAACATTGCTAAAGGGCAGGACACATCAGCTGATAACTACTGGAAGTAAACAGAACACAGCATTTAAGAATTACTTCAGAAATTTATTACAGAAGAATCCCAGTAGTCTGGGAAAAGTAGTAAGCATTGGCCTGACTAGAAAATGGATAAGAAAGTCTGGAATAATGAATGTTGTATTTGTTGCATTTGTCTCCTTTAAAGAACCCATTAAAATATATATTTAAGTTTCACCTTTCTGACTGAAGATTTAAGCTTTTCTCTTGCAGGAATATCCCAAGTAACTATACCTTAAAGATGGTAAAACTACAGCAAGGCTAGCACTGGAAAAAACCCCACCTTAATTCCATTTATTAGACACAGCATGGGAATACCATCAAACCCAAAACATGTTCTCAAATGTTCCAAAACAGAGCTTCCTGAGAAGCATATGTTCAGCAAACAGAGCTTTGTACAGAAATTAAATTCTCAATTCAGTCTTCGGAGCAGACAATGAGAACTCATCTCTCAAGAAAGAAATAAGCTATATGATCAAACCAGTACCACTATTAAAATTCTGATCTTCAATATTCCAAAATTTTATTGAAGTTAATAGAGTAAGATATGAAAAATATATCCACCTAAAATAGGAACTGGAGGTTCAGCCAAACATAATTAACATATTTAGATAGCATGCATAAGTGATGTTCATTGCCAGTAACACACAAGATGTGATACAGTCAAGCACAAATGAGCAGGTGATCAGAAATTGGTGATTTGGTTCTGAACGACCATTGGCCTGTGTCCAGAGGAAATGCTGGACTTCCCCTCTTTCTGAAAAATAAAACTTTGACATCACAATGCCATTTCATTAGTCTAGTTCCTTAAATACCAGATAGTGGGAGCATTCATTACTATCTTCCAAGACTCCAAAACTCACGCATAGAAAAGAAGCCAAAAAATTGAGGACCTACACATTGAGAGCAACAAAGACCTGGCAGATTTAAAGTGGCTGAATCAGTATCCAGTAGCCAGAATCAAGTGTCCAAGGCCAAATTGTTGTTTGTTGTTTTTTTTTTTAAAGGCTGGGTTAGTATCCTTCCAAAATCACTTACTGTTGTATAGAGACTCTAGTCTACATCTCATCATCAGCAATATAGAAAGAAAAGGTTATGTATGCTGTCAGGCATAGTAAAAGACGAATATTTGACCTGGCTATGCATAGAAAACATTTCCATTCATACATGTTGCTCACCTTCGGTTGACAATAAAAACTTTGAACCTGAACTCCACCCTGCAGAGCATGAGGCTGGCTGCAGACCCAGTCCTCAGGGCTGAGTGCTTTCCATCCCTCTGATTTTTCATGGGTTTAGGAAGGCTCAGTGCATCTAACTGTCAGACTCTGCTAAACATTCCCAGAGAACTTGCCATTTCAGATAGGTGGCTTTAAATACCTGGGAAGGAAAAGTAGCAACTTGCTATTTCATTTATCTGCTTCAGAGTCAGGTAAACTATAGGAACGACCAAATGCTGATTGAAATCCCTACTCTCCTCCCAATCTGTATAGCTGATTCTTTGCATTAGATGCAGAGCTGGAGCTTGGGATAAATTGTTCAGCTTGTTTCCAAGGAAACCCCTGACAAACATCAGTGAACAGCATGTCTGAAAATGTGAAAAGCCAGTGTATAAACCTTCCTTATTTCAGATATAAACCCTCAAATTAATAAAAGTAAATGCAGAGTTCAATATACTTTTTTCTTTAGAAGTAAATCTAAATGTGATAAAACAATATGCAAGTCATATCCATAAGTGTAGTACAAAACGTACACCAAAAAGCTTTTGTATATGAAATCAGTTTGACTCTTCAGATTGTCTTCTAGTTGGCTTGTTTTTAATTCACCACGAGTTTTGGAAATCATATGCATTAATGAACATCTTGGTTTGTTTACCAACAACCCCAAATTACATCACCTTTCATCAGAAAGATCTCCTACCAAGAGCAATTCAATTTGGCTTTTCTATGGATTTGTGGTTTTTAGTCAAGATCAAGCAAATCATCCCCATCACTCAAAATTGTTTCCACTTGTAGCTACTTTTAAACCAGTAGATTAGCAGATAACTGACTCCCGCAAGAGTTGCAGCAGAGTTTCTGTGCTGTCTACTGACCTCTGTGCTTTGAAAAGGTTTCCAGTACGGCTTTCCTGAACAGAGCTTTTCTCTAGTCCCCATTCCATCTGAGAATAAAAATACTGAGTCATCTACTGGAGAAAACATTCCGATCTTTTAGCAGTTTCAAACAGTTGCCAAACTTTATTGGGTTATTCTGGGGTCAGATCTTTCCAGCTTAACCAAGCTGAACAGCAGCTTACTGTTTGAGTGATCTTAACATGAGCCAGCAGTGCGCTCTGGCAGCTCGAAAGGCAAATGGGATCGTGGGCTCCATCAGGAGAGGGGTGGTCAGCAGGGACAGGGAGGTGATTGTCCCTCTCTACTCGGCTCTTGTGAGGCCCCATCTGGAGTACTGTGTCCAGGTGTGGAGCCCTCAGTACAAGAAAGACATTGAGATTTTTGGAAAGGGTCCAGAGGAGGGCGACTAAGATGATCAGGGGGCTGGAGCACCTCCCCTATGAGGACAGGCTGAGGGAGTTGGGCTTGTTCAGACTGGAGAAGAGAAGGCTGCGTGGTGACCTCATTGCAGCCTATCAATACCTGAAGGGAACCTACACCCAGGAGGGGAGTAAACTCTTCAAAAGGGCTGACAACAGCAGGACTAGGGGAAATGGATCCAAGTTGAAGGAGGGAAGATTTAGGTTGGATGTTAGGGGGAAGTTCTTTACAAGGAGAGTGGTTAGGCCCTGGAACGGGCTGCCCAGGGAGGTTGTGGATGCCCCGTCCTTGGATGTGTTTAAGGCCAGGTTGGACGGG